CAGCACGTTTTTACCCGAAACGAGGGAGGAATATTCGTCGACTGCGTCAACATGAATATAATATAAAAGCCAAAAGGCTGCAGTACAACGATTTCTATCCATCCTCATCTGGTGAGAACAACAAACGAATCTCTTTATCATGTACTTCCATTCGAAATGAAGGTCCTCCTAACAATGTTATCTCAGGAGATTCATCGAAACCAAGTTTCTCTTCGTATCTACAATATTAGTTTACTAAGAAGGGAATTGGACCACCAAGTTTTTATATTCCTTTAGTTGAGTATCTAGAATTTTATTTAAATAGAAACCAAATGTATCTATGACACTGTTTTTCCAGCATTAATTAGTTTGCGCTGTGTAATTTTGAGTGGCCAAGAGCACATCAATGGATGAAATGAAAGTAGAATTAATCTTACTTATTTTCAACAAGACGATTAAATATTAAGTGCTACCTCGAGAAAGAGTGATTGGAGCAAATGATTAGCAAAACTTTTACCCTGGAATTTCACTCAGTTCTACCTTAATCTATCTGCTCCACCGTACTCAGTTCAACTCTATTATACTCTCGTATACCCCTGCATATTGTTCGTCGCTATATCTTTCCTTAACTCAAATAGGCACAAATCTACAAATATATCCTCATCATATGGTATTGGTTGCTGCTTTATTTTGGAGTAGTTCCTTCATAGGAATAGAAAGTGAACAAGGATAAATCGGACTGTTATAAATTAAAAGGAGCTACTTAAAAAATACAAATAAGGAGATGTTACTTGCATTTTACAATCGACAAGCAATGAAAATTATGAAAATTCCAGGTACTAGAATACGCTTAAATTAATCCTATTTATATAATTGCATTCAAATATTTAGGTAAATTAGTCTAGTAAGCTCGTACATTCAGTTCGTTACAGATGATTATAAATTGGAGAATTTGTGAAGAATTATCACATGGAATTACGAGTAATGAAATTTATTTTATCATTAAAACTAATGGCAATAGGAGTCTTCTGAAATTCTTATTTTAAACACACGAATCCACCCGCTCTAGTTGAGGCCCGCTGGATTTATGAAAAAACATATAATATCGAACTGAATTAGGATTAAAACCTGATTTCCTATACAAATTGAATCGATAAGAATTATGTGAAATATGTAAATAAGTACTCACATGTGCACCTTAATGAAAGAGAGAGTTGTCTATCATGGAGATTACTTAAGCTCTTATCGGCAATCTCCCACCCAAGCCAACCAAGTCCACGGATTTCATCAATGGCATAAAAATGGTTTATACTTTACTAGCATGGTGGCTTAATGTAGTTTTATGTGCAAGGTTTCGTTTTTTATTATTTAATATTTCTATAAATTATGAATAATTACAAAATATTATGGTTAATGTATTATTTAGGTTAATCACTAAGATCACTTATGATGATATAGAAAAACTTTGAATAACCAAATGGGTTGCAGAACTGCAACCTAACAATGCCTGTTTGGTTTGGGATCAGGTATGATTAAGCAAATTGTGGTCTTATTTAAAATTAAATAAGGCAGACTTCTGAAATTTATGGTAGATTTTCATACCTTGAACTCTAGTAGTTTATATTTGGTAAGATTCAAATAGGATTTCTTCATTTACTTATCTGAAGAATTCGTTACAATTTTCCTTAATTCAGTCATCACTATTCTATTCTTAACGCTTTAATTTGGTATATAATCTATTAAGGCTTTACTTTGCTAGTCTCCTATCCTTAATTATTCCTTCCTAACAAGACAATAATCTATATTTCACATATAATCTCTTATTATCGATGTCACCTGAAGTTTGCTCCGAATCCAGGCCAGCGCATTGAGCCTCCATTTTAGCTTGCTTTGCCGCCAAAATCGCGTTTTCGACCATCTCTTTAGCTTCATCAGGATTCAACAGGTAATGTGGTGGCCCATACTCCAGGATTTGTCCTTTTGACATCACGATCACTATATCAGTATCGATTACAGTATTAAGTCTGTGTGCTATCGTTAGAACTGTGTAGTTAGCGAATTGATTCCGAATCGTCTTCTGAATAATTGCATCTGTCCTAAAGTTTAGAGAAGAGATAGTAAAGAAAAGAAAAAAAAAGTGCTAAGCACTAAAAGGCGTACTCAGTGTTCTTTCGATTTGCCATAATCTAAACGTTAGTTTAATTATACCCCTAAATAAAAGTTGGTTTCTTGTCACTTGAAACTGTCAGTAAATCTAATCAATTTTGAAAAATGCTAAGTTTAATTTGCATTACTGTATATTTTCCGACAATTGAGCGTCAAACGAATAAATAAAAAGTTAGACTCCAAGTTTTACGTGAGGCCTTTTTATCGACGTTTAGCTTCACTTACATTTAACCTTTAATTTTAAGATTCAAAACAAGGTATGCTTCAATAAGTTTAATCATGACGGAACTTGGTTACATAGCCCAGATAACAGATAACAATAAGAATCTGATAAACAAAATGTGAGAATGAGCTTTTTGAATCCAAATTTTTTGATAGAACGAGAATAAATAAGGCGTTAACTGTTTGATCTTTATAAAAACTCTAGCCACAATCGAAATTTCCAGTCGGTAGTCACATTATAGTAATGCTGGTGCTAGTCAATTTATTAACTAGTTATTTTTGCTTTCAATTATAATTATATCAAATCCAGCTTCAAGCTGGCACGATGGGCTTAGAAAACCTGTTTTCACCTTGACATGTAAAATAGCTCAAATTAAATCATAAGCCCCTCTTTCATAAGAATCAGGGATAAGAACTCTGAAAGCCTAAATTGTATATACAAAGAGCCATAGTGCTGGCTTTACCCACAAAATATAAACTTCATTTATCTAATATTAAGGAATCAGATTAAATCACTCTGAAATGGTTCCAAGCGACTTGACTTACTGTGGGTCCACATTAGCCGTTGCTTCGTCGAAAATCAAAATACGGTTTTCTCGAATAATAGCCCTTGCAAGCACTAGTAACTGCCGTTGGCCAAGGCTCAAGTTAGAGCCACCCTCACTGACTCTTGCATCCAAACCACCGGGCATAGACATAACGGCATGCTCTAGTTCAACCTAGAAAAGTGATAAACGTGTTAATATTTAATTTACTGTAAGCATAATTAAATGCAATTTTTATAATATTTATGTAGCAAATTTCGTTTTGACGTATTAGAGTATTATATACTGAAGTATCACATGGCCTATTTCTATGTTATTTTGTATCAAAAAGCAAGAATTTTGAGGCGTTAAGCTGAAATTTAATAGATGTAATGGAATGTTATGCTAAATAATAAGATCTAAGCCAAATATATGTTATGTATCATTAATAGTTTGGTTCCCAATAGATTATGTAATCCCCTGTCAAGTATCTAGAGGTTCATTTTTTTGGCAAAGTTATTGTTTAAACAACTGATTGTATACTAATTAACCATTTTCAAAAATTTCGCTAGTCAGAGTAGACTGCCTTTTATGCACTTAATCCAGAGAATTCATACCGTCGCATCTCACTTAACCGTTCATATACTAGGATTGTGCATAACTAGAACAATTATTCCAATGCTAGAAGTTGGCTTTCACCAGTGTGTTAAATACCGTCTCTCTTCTTTGAACCTTCAATAGCCCTATCATCCTCTATTCTTTTACCTTTGCTGTTATATCTGACTATGAATTAGCTTCCCCCCAAGGGCATTTACTTATAGGCTAATTTTTCTTAAGTGAAAGTATTCACTAGATCAGATCTATCTTGGAACGTAAAGGGAAGTAAAGGGTTCATTTCATCTATTGGAAGCCATTATGAGATCGGTCTTGTGTATGAATCATCTGATTGCTGTCCATTTCTAATAATGCAATTAATCCTCGATTAATTGAATATTGAACTTGCTTCTCTGTTAAGGTTCCAATCACCCTGTTGCCTCAGGTTTTTATTATCTGGGAATTTCGACACCATTTTAATCATAAACTAGGAGACTAATAATTATTCCAACGATTATACTCTTCATTTCACCTAAGTGAGCTTTACTACGTAAATAAACAGATAATCTGCCAAGAAATTTGGTATTTTTCCATCTTTGTTGCTATTCCATTGGCTGGATTTTGTGTCTCGATTCCATGCCTTCCAGTCATGTTGTTTATCTTATACCAGGTATTCTATGATGATAGTACCCTTTAAAGAATAAAGAAGAAAAGTTCATTTCCCCCTCTAAACTTAACGAATTGAAACACAATGATAACACTTGCCACTCAGATGTCCTAGACCCTTTGATCTCAGCTAGCCTCATGCCTAGATGCTTCAGCTCTATTCTAAGAAAGTAATTCTTCGGAAGCTTCAATTGTGCATAATTTCGGTATAAAGGTTCTGCTCATGTGTTAGGGTTTACGACATTAAAACTAAGGAAGGAAGGAAGGGGTTGATTGTCTGTGGCCTTTCCTATTGTGAGTAGCCTAACTAATCTTATAAACTCAGTCGAATATGCAATTTGCGGATATTTATTTACAGCATACTTATGCGAATATATAGTTTAGGTACTCAAGATTCATACTTTTCATATAAGAGTATTATTAATTTTGTGAATTAGGTGTATGATTTTTTAATCTCTCTAAGTAGACTGCATTTTCTAAACCTCTTTTCGAATAAATCATCATTAGGAAATAATGTGATGAATCGCCTCTTCATAGAAGAAGAAATACCTTTAAGAAAATCCAGAAAGATTAGCACTCACTGATTTTACAGCTTTCCATATAATATCATCATTAAATTCTCCCTTCGGATCCAGATTACTACGAATTGTTCCCGCAAATGTAATTGGTTCCTAAAATATATAAATTTAGCTTGATTACAATAATATAAAACAAGTTATTTTCATGTTTGAAAATAATTTAGATTTTCGGATAAAAGGGGGATCCTATCTAAACTTGAGCTTAACTATACTCAATAGGATACTTGAGTTCAAGGGCTTTATAAATATATATTATGCAAAACCTGGATGTATAAAATTAGGCAAAGGAAATATGAATTTCCTACGTTCAATAAAGGACAAAAAATAGAGAATCCCCCGTCCGTGAGTTAAACGCCAGCAAAAATGTTAATTAGTAAGTAAAATGACAGAGTATAATACATGTCATAACAAGGTTTATTCTATCAGAGCTATTTTTCATATGCTTACCTGAGGAATAATAGAGATTTGCTTTCGTAGAAACTTTAGGGGCACATGCCGAGTATTAATTCCATCAATCACTAGAGAACCAGATTCTAGCTCAACAAGACGAAATAGTGCTGAAATTAAACTGCTTTTTCCTGCCCCTGTACGACCAACAATACCCACCTTGAATGAAAAATGCGAAAAATATCAAAATAATTTGAATTTTACAGTAAACATGTAACCAATTTAAAAGAGTGCTAGACGAAGACAATTGTAGAGGCATATATATTACGCTTATTTATGCAGCAGAAGCGGACTTTCCTACGGAAATGATAGTACACCCCCCAAACCAGGACATGGCACATATGAATTTATAGCAGTTTTGTTAATTAGTGCTGTTTTACAAACAAAAGTAACCCAAACAACGCTCACAAATATTCGAGTAAATTATACCTATAATCGTTTGACCTATCTTTCCAAACTTATCGTATAGCTAGGAAGAGGTAGAGGAACGAATCTGGACCGGAGGCCATAGTATACATAATAATTTCTAGTTCTGAATCGTGAACATGGTACATTTCTAGCTATTTCCCCATCATCGTAGTCAGCATCGCCAGTGAGCCTTGCTCTTATTAGCGCTACACTACAACTATTCAAAGAGACAAATCAAGTCGATACTTTGACCAATTTTCTGCTAAACATTTGTAATATCTCCCTTCTGTCCTGGAGTATTCACCTATCCTATATCCTCTTAACGCATCTTCACCTTGACAATTTCTTACTTGCGTATCTAAAGATAATTGAGGTGTGCCCTTTTGATCAAATTTAGTGGGACATACTCACACCCCTCTCCGGTTCCCTGATTCCCCCACTGATTCATATATAGTTGCCTCTCCTAAATCTTTTGTCCTTGGTTTGCTTTTAAGAACAATGATAATGGTTTCCTTACTCTTCAGTTGTTCATTTTCCATTTTGTATCTTAAACGATCCTAGGCCGAAATAACGCATTATCACCATGACAGATGACGCAGTAACAGGCACGTTATTTTCAGTAATTCTTTAAGCATGACTTAGGCGCAATAAGAAGGTTGAACCAATACCAAATTATGATGTGTTCAAAAAGGCTTCTTACTAACTTTTCGGCCAGGCTGGATGCACATTGAGATGCCACTCAGAGCATAAGGAGCATCTGGAGTATAGCGCAACCAAATATTCTGAAAATGAATACGACCAAGAGAGGGCCAGTTGCTTGGCGTCCACGACTTATTTTCTAGAATCTTTCCCTGAGGAATCGGCTCTTCTGGAGGTAGGTCGATGTATCTCGAAGCCCGTTCATACGAAATCATCTAAAAGCCAAGATTAAGTGGTGATTACTGCATCAACATTGCATTATTTTATATATATGCATGATTTAATTGCAAATATCTTCTGAACCTTCTGGGGTTTTGCTAAGAGGATGACAATTAAGTGTTTATTTGATGATATCAGGACC